ATGCTTTTCTTATTTTCTCTCATTATCTCAATTTCTTCGTCTTTTCATCACTCAAATGATGAATAAATAAAATTTAACTCATTCTGTATTTCAATCTTCTTCAATTTGAGTTCTTTGCCAACATAACCAAGATGCCACAAAATGAAATATTCTTCTTTTAATTTTATTTCCAGGCTATGTCTTTAGAATTTGAATAGATGAGGAAGGAAATATTATTTAAGTTTAAAATGAAGTTGGTTTTTTTGGGGAAATTAGACGCGTTTAAAATTATTTGAGCTTTTTCAACACATTTTGAACTTCTTGAACAAGTTTTGAGCTTTTTGAATAAGTTTTGAGTTTTTTGAACAAGTTTTGAGTATTTAGAACTTTTTGAACAATTTTAGAGCTTCCTGAACACATTTTGAGCTTTTGAACAAGTTTTAAGCTTTTTGAACAAGTTTTGAGTATTGTGAACAGATTTTGAACTTTTTGAACAAGTTTTGAGCTTTTTGAACAAGTTTTGAGTATTTAGAACTTTTTGAACAATTTTAGAGCTTCCTGAACACATTTTGAGCTTTCTGAACAAGTTTTAAGCTTTTTGAACAAGTTTTGAGTATTTAGAACTTTTTGAACAATTTTGGAGCTTCCTGAACACATTTTGAACTTTCTGAACAAGTTTTGAGCTTTTTGAACAAGTTTTGAATGTTTTGAACAAGTTTTGAACTTTTTGAATAATTCTGAACAAGTTTTGAGCTTTTTGAACAAGTTTTGAGCTTTTTGAACAAGTTTTGAGTATTGTGAACAGATTTTGAACTTTTTGAACAATTTTGGAGCTTCCTGAACACATTTTGAACTTTCTGAACAAGTTTTGAGCTTTTTGAACAAGTTTTGAGCTTTGAACAAGTTTTGAGTATTTAGAACTTTTTGAACAATTTTAGAGCTTTCTGAACACATTTTGAACTTTCTGAACAAGTTTTGAGCTTTTTGAACAAGTTATGAGTTTTGAACAAGTTTTGAGTATTTAGAACTTTTTGAACAATTTTAAAGCTTCCTGAACACATTTTGAGCTTTCTGAACAAGTTTTGAGCTTTTTGAACAAGTTTTGAGTTTTTTGAACAAGTTTTGAGTTTTTTGAACAAGTTTTGAGTTTTTTGAACAAGTTTTGAGTATTTAGAACTTTTTGAACAATTTTAGAGCTTTCTGAACACATTTTGAACTTCTTGAACAAGTTTTGAGCTTTTTGAACAAGTTTTGAGTTTTTTGAACAAGTTTTGAGTACTTAGAACTTTTTGAACAATTTTAGAGCTTCCTGAACACATTTTGAGCTTTCTGAACAAGTTTTAAGCTTTTTGAATAAGTTTTGAGTATTGTGAACAGATTTTGAACTTTTTGAACAATTTTGGAGCTTCCTGAACACGTTTTGAACTTTCTGAACAAGTTTTGAGCTTTTTGAACAAGTTTTGAGTTTTTTGAACAAGTTTTGATTGTTTAAAACACATTTTGAGCTTTTTGAACAAGTTTTGAGCTTCTCAAACAAATGTTGAGCTTTTTGAACACTTCTTACTATTTTTGAGCAAATTAATCTCTAATGACGTCAACTGGACATTTTGCATGCCTTACAAAATAAACTCAAATTTGAAATAGCTAATAAAGGAACAAAAAAAAATAATTCAAAAGAAACGAAAACAAAAATGAAATGAAACTAAAAGCAAAAAGAGTTTCAATCAATGAGCAGACAGTAAACAGTATAAAATAATTGCCAAATGTGGGATGCCCTTTCATGCGGTTTTCACAAAAGCATCATGGCAAACAATAAACACAAAAAAATAATTTTAATTGCATTTTCGTCCACCACATCATTGCAGTCCTAACGAACATCAAACACTCATTTCCACTTTACAATTCAATTTTTGTGATGGAAATAAAAGTACTTTTTATGGTCATTGAAGTTAATTTATTGGTAACGGAACAAATGAAAAAAAACTTATCTTTCCAACTTGACATCCTTAAATGATATAAATTTAACAGCCAACCGCAAAATGGGTTCTTTCACTTCCGATTTCCATTCCATTTATATCTGTTGAACTTTTTTATTTTATTCTTAATGTTAATACTTTTTAATGTCAATCTTATTATATTTTATCTAAGCGAAGTGAGGGGCTCGATGGATGCTTATAGCTCCTATTAACCCAACAATTGACTTTTGACACCATCAAATATAACAAAGCAGAAAAAAAGGGAGAGGAAGAAAAAATGTCTCACCTTTATTAACCTCATAATGTTTCGATCCCTTTTTTCAAGATAAAGCACCTCCAATGACATTATCTAGTAAATTGCGTGAACGATACAAGTAAGTAGGTAGATGAAGAAAATGTAATTTTTTATTTTATCTATATATGTGTAATGTGAAAATGAAAGGAAGAGTTTATTGAAATGGGGTTGAAACAATGGATTGGAGAACGTTGACTTATGACGTCACTTATTTTGCTGAGGGCCCGTTCACTTATGACGTCCAGGGAGGGGGGGGGGGGGGGGGGGGGGGGTTCAGCGAGAAAAGAACGATAGAAATTCCTGGAAATCCATTGTTCTTTTTTTTGAAAAATGATTGTTAATTTTGGACGTCATAGGTGAACGACATTTGAGGGATGTCCCCTCTTTTTACTATCCTGAGGAAACAATGCGCTTTAAGGTCCATAATTTTTAGTAGGATTAGTCACATAATTTAAATTTTAAAAAACCGTTAACTTTCTAATATCAAAATAAATGTAAAGTCTAATGAAGGAAGATGCCAAATTTTTGATTCGAAACTCTGCATCATCATCCATTACTACGTAAGCAAAAAAGGTATGAAACTGTAAATAATGATTAAGACTCTTCAAGCCATAGCTTTGATTAACATCCCTTTGCTTCATTACCAAAAACTTTCATCAAATTACTTAAACACGTCACTTATGAATGTCTCTTATATCTGATCTTTAGTCTTTGTATCATTGCAAAAAAGAAACTAAATCCACTTATTGGACTTGATTTGTTCGCTTTGCAGATCTTAACAGAAGGATTATCTTACATACATGGTAAGAAATTGTTTGCTCCTTGAAGTGCTTACAATAATTGCATTGCAATTGAAGATTAAATAAATATTGACATCTTAATGGATTCTTTTAATTGCTACATTGAAATGCTAGACTAGCAAAAATATTTATTTTTTAAAAAAATCATAGACATTTTGTTGATGTTTGAAATTTTGTTGCTGAAATGTTTAATTGACAGCAACAGCATAGCCACAAACCAAACCATGCATTATGACAATGCTTATAAGTGGCTAGTGATGTCTGGGCAGAGGAATCATGTAATGACAGGTGGGAGCTTCTTCATAAAAATAAATAATACTTTTTCATGGATTTATCATAAAAGGATAAGTTCCATTCTCACCAAGAAACACTCAAGAATCTTGCCTGATAAAATTACATTTTCATTCCTTTCAAATTTACACATAAGGCAATATTCCCTTCCTTTCTCCCCCATTTTTTATTGCAATCAGCACATTTGATGTGTCAATTCCATACTTAACATTTGCTTGATTTGTATAAATGTGTATTTGATAAGAATATTTGTCTATCTCTTCACGGCAACAGCCAAAATAATAAAGTAAAGCAGAAATAAAATAAATGTAATTACGAGCAGTAATAAAAGAGAGACAGAGTGTCGCACTGGCATTTACCAAAAGCTTTGGTTCTTTTACAACATTTAACCTGATTTTAAATGACTTTTTATAACCGTTCTCATGTCATTCACTTCTTTATCAGCTTCTTGATCTGCTTTTTTGTTTTTTTTCTGATCCCAAATTGTGGATATAGAGTGTAAGTCCTTAAGTGATATTCTCTTGGTGAGATTTGGTTTGCCAAGAAAAAAATCGTAATCTATTGCCAGAAAATGCTTATTGCACACAAGTAACAATGGATAGATAATTTATTGCAATTTATTTGTTGTTTGTTCCTTACTTTTTTTTATTACTAGCTTTTTAGATTATTTTTTGTAGAAATGAATGCAGTTTGAAGTCTAGATTGAAGAGATAGCTAGTGGATATGGCTTCAATTGCTACTTATTAAACTAAAGCGGAAGTAGTAAGACTCTATCAAGACTAGAGCCACTAGATGCTCAGGAATGACGCACCTATAGCTTCAATTCCACACCAAACCATCCTCGTCCACAACCTACTTACGTTACAATTAGGTTGAAGCATCTGGAAACCAAGCAAATGTGACTAGGACTCGAACCCACGTCGTGCAATTTTAAGTCACTTATTGCTACCACTCAGCCATCAAGGGTCACTTGATTGTATAAGTAAATGGCATATTTAAGTCTCACAGAGAGCCTTTTCCCCTCCCTACTCTTTGCTGTTCGCAAACATCAAAATTTTTCCATCTCCACTGTCGCACCATATGCATTGACATAATACACAGCATTTTCTTTCCGGATAAATCATTAAGATTGAAGAGGAAATGAATGATTGTGAAAGAAACCATTTAAAAGCTCTTTTGGAACATCACCATACACACCTCAATCAATTTGCAATTTATTATACTCTTCAACATCGTCATTAAATATTGAAACATTAATAACAAATGATTTAGCGTTCAATTATCTACGTTATTCATCTCAATCGATATTCATCATCTTCTTGTTTTCATTAGCGTAATTTTGGGTAAAAATTATGCAATTTGTTTGACTAGGGACAGTTATTGTTGGGTAGCATATGAAGCTTATTGTTCAAAAATTTCAGCCGTTAAATTTGGAATTTTTGAAAGACGTTAAAATTATGGAATTTTAGAAACCGATAAAATTTGAATTTCTGAAAGCCGTTAAATTTTGATTTACCGTTACTGTTAAAATTTGATTTTCTGATAGCCGTTAAATCTTTAATCTTTTTAAACCTAATAAAAATGCGCCTTTAACTTCCTCTAGATCAAGCACATCAATAATACACTCAATAACATCACTATACAAATATTTCATCTCACCTGAATATTCATTGCCAGAATTAAGAGCAGATGGCTGCAATCGATTTTCCATTTCACGAAGTCTTGTCGTGAGGCTTTGTGTATGAAGAAATAAGAAAAGTGTGCAAACTATTGCAATGACAGCAACAAATTCTGTAGATCTGAAATTGAATAAGATAAAAAAAAATTATTTTTTTTCTGAAGAGATTTAAATTTTTTTATGTCTGCTGCGCTTTCGGATTTCAATACACATGCATAATCAAATCAGCAATTAAAACAAAATAAATGTCAATTGGATTTTTGATGAATTTTCATTTTCTAACTGAAGCGTGACATGCAGTAAAATCACGTCGAATAAAAATAGAGCACAAAAATCAAGTTCCAAATTTAATTATAATTTTTGTTGTGGACTTTAAATGCACTGCTTTTGTGGAATAGTTGACACTATAAAGCAGTGATGGTCAACCCATGTGCCGTGGCACGCTAGTGTGCTGTAACCAACCTTGATAAAACCATAGAATATCAAAAAATTCTAATGTTCTTAAGTTTTTTAAGTACACCCCCCTCCCCCACCCCCCCCCACCTACCCTCTTTTGTGACGTCATGTATGGATGGTCCTCCTTAGGATCATGAAGATTAATATAATATTGAACATTCAAGTATGTATTTGGGTACAGTAATTACAATTTTACATCTAATTCAATCTCAACATACTCCAAGAATCGACCCCCCCCCCCCTTTCTAGGCTAATGAGTTGAAAGAACAAAATTAATGAAACTTTTCCAATCATCCAATATTTGATTACATAACTCAACCATTCAATGTCATCCTTGCCAAGTCACACAATTAAATAAAGAAGCCCAAAATTATCTCAAAGGCATTTTTAGCTTGTATAAGCGCAAACCAAATATATGCGGCACATTCATTTATTTATGTATTTATTTGTCTTCCTTTTTATATTTATTATACAGACAGCAATCTAATCTGTTAAGATATAGATAGGAAGACATTTATTGTTTAAGCAACAAATAAGAAGAAAATCAATTCGATGCTTTGTCATCAGCCTTTCATTTTGATGGCATTATTCATTAACCATCTCTATTACTGCAAACATAAAGGATGTCTTATTCTCTTTTTTGTTCATCTTATTCTATGATCTGTCAATAACAGTCATGTTAAAATTATTCTGCATTAATTCATAAATATCTTTATTTCTATTTTTTTTCATTGTTGACTTTATTGTTATCTCATTCCATAGACTTGAATGTTAGAATTAAGAATGTGACGTAAAAACTGTGTAATGAATAATCAATGACAAAATAAGATATGGAATAGTTCATTCAATTGGAAGAAGCTATGCAGAGAATGCTTTTTGGAACTTCGGTTGCTTGAGCAGAGTGAATTCTTGTATATTGAACTTTATTGAAGCTAGTTTGAAAATACTTAATAAGGTCTAAGCTGTTAGAAGTAGCTAAACTAATCAAGAGTTGCTAGGAGTGGTTATATATTAATAAGAGTCGATTTAGGGGTAGCTTTTAGTCATTAGGAGTAACTAGAAGTGTTTAAGGGTAGCTGATAGTTGTAAGAAGTAGATAGCAGTGGCTAAGAGTGGTTAGGAATGCTTAAGAGTAGCATTGAGTCAATGGAAGTAGTCAGGAGTAGAAAGTTGTGTATAGAAGTAGCTTGGAATAGCTTCAAGTGATTAAGAGTAGTTAAAAATGATTAAGAGTAGCTGGTAGTAATAAAGAGTAGCTAGGAGTGGTTAGATTTAAATAAAGGTTGCTTAGAATTGACTTAGGGGTAGCTATTATTGTTGAGAGCAACTAGAAGCATTTATGGGGTATCTGGGAGTGGCTAAGAGTGATAAGGAATGATTAAGAGTAGCATTGAGTTATTAGAAGTAGCCAAGATTAGAAAGAATATATGTGGAAGTAGCTTGGAATAGCTTTAAGAGGTTAGGAGTAGCTACAAGTGGCTAAGAGTAGCTAGAAGTGATCAGGTGTAAAAAAGGATAGCTAGAAATCAATTTAGGGATTGCTAAGAGTTGTTAGGAGCAACTAGAAAGGTTAAGGGGTAGCTGGTTGTTGCATGAGGTAGCTGTAGTGTCTAGGAGTAGCTAATAGTTACTAGGAATAGTTATGAGTAGCTAGTAGTGGCTAGGAAATAGACCAATAGTTCGATTCCCGACGACAACAGTTTAAATCAAACCATGCTGTACAACACACTACATTAGGTATGTTAGCCTCAAAAAGTATAAAACAATTGACGCTGATCAAAGTTTATATGACAAAGGCTCGAACAATGAGCCAAACTCAAATATTATCATATGGATCAGGCAGGGACGTAGCCAGAAATTTGAAGAGTGGTGGAGGGAAAAAATTTATGGGGTGGGGGGGTGTTTTTGTGATTTTTACATAAAAACCCTAGCAAAATAAAGAAATTTCTGTTTACGTTGGGAGATCCCCAATTCACCCCCCCCCCCCCCCCCCCTGACTACGCGCCTGGGACCAGTCCATAATTGAGCTAACCTGGGATTTAGTGAGCAGTTGCAAATCCAAATGATATCAATCAAATCTAATAGCTTCCATAAACAGACAATAAAGTTCACAGAAGATAGTTTTAAAGCAGCATAATTGATAAATTCAACAATATAAATTTCCATAGTAGGAAATTCTTGATTCCCCACAATTTTCAAGTCATAAATGACAAATCAAAGAAAATTCATTCCATAAATAATTCATTAAAGTTGAAAATGTTGCCGTTCAGAAGACAATGGCTTTAATAATTCACAATGGAAGCTCAATTTATAAGAAGAAAAAAGTACAAAAGGAAATTCAATTCCATGTTATTTTAGCAAAAATACTTTGTGTGATGTCCAAAATCATCCAATAGAAATGGAAACAAAGCTTCTTTGTCAATTTCATAGCCTATGGATTTATTGTTTGGAACATTAGATGTCTATTATCCTTCTTTTATATATCATCTCTTTTTCTGCATTTTTTACAAGGAAGGATTTTCATGGATTTGTAGCATTTTATGTCATCTAATTGACGATATGACATTTTTTCCGTTGACATCAACAAATCTTGTCATGACAGACATTGTTCTGATAACTATGGAAGGATATATATCACGAAAATAATAACAATTTACATAGCAATCACATCTATGAATGCATAAGCACTTATAATCCCCGCTGTAAATCCCGAAAAAAAAATGCACAGAAAATTAAAACCGTTGACATGTAATCCGCTATTGCCATAAAATCTTTCGGAATATTGCATGTTGATAGTTTCCGTTGAAAATGGGAAGAGCTGAGCTTCACGAACCGCTGTTCATATGCAAAATGCACTTTCACGGTTTATAAAATTTATATAGTTTTTTAAATTAATATACTAAGTTAATAATACAGTGATCAGGATTGACTAAGGCGCTTAGGAATCACCAATTCCAAATTAATTAATTTTTAGAACTAATTCTTGAATTCAAAAAAAAATTTCATTTAACTTTTTTATGGAACTCAAATCTTTCAACAGTAGAAATAAATTTGAATTTCTGAACGCACTCATGCAACCTCACAATGCATCCAGTCCAAATTAATAAATTTTCACGACAAATACTTGAATTAAAAAGATTTCATATTTAACGGTTTTTGTGGAATTCAAATCTTATAACGATAGAAATGAATTCAAATTTCAGAACGCACTCATGCAACTGGTCCAAATTAATTAATTTTCACAATTAATTCTTGAATTTAAAAGATTTTTCATTTAGGTTTTTGGAATTCAAATCTTATAACAGTAGAAATAAATTTGAATTTCTGAACGCACTCATGCAACCTCACAATGCATCCGGTCCAAATTAATTAATTTTTTTCAATTAATTCTTGAATTTAAAAGATTTCTCATTTAACGGATTTTTGGAATTCAAATTTTATAATGGTAGAAATAAATTTGAATTCCTGAACGTACCCATGCAACCTAACAATGCAACCGGTCCAAATTAATTAACTTTCACAATTAATTCTTGAATTTAAAAGATTTCTCATTTATCGGTTTTTTGGAATTCAAAACTTATAACACTAGAAATAAATTCAAATTTCTGAACGCACTCATGCAACCGTTCAAAATTCATTAATTCATTAATCTTCATAACTAATTCCTGAAATAAAAAAATCTCATTTTACGATTTTTTGGAATTCAAAACTTATAACCATAATAATAAATTCGAATTTCTGAACGCACTCATGCAACCGGTCCAAAGTAATTAATTAATCTTCAAAACCAATTCCTGAAATAAAAAATCTGTAACGATTTTTTGGAATTTAAATCTTATAATGGGAGAAATAAGTTCAAATTTTAGAACGCACTCATGCAACTGGTCCAAATTAACTAATTTTCACAATTAATTCTTGAATTTAAAAGATTTTTCATTTGGGTTTTTGGAATTCAAATCTTATAACAGTAGAAATAAATTTGAATTTCTGAACGCACTCATGCAACCTCACAATGCATCCGGTCCAAATTAATAAATTTTCACAACTAATTCTTGAATTCAAAAGATTTTTCATTTAATGGCTTTTTGGAATTAACATCTTATAACGGGAGAAATAAGTTTGAATTTCTGAACGCACTCATATAGTGGAAAAATATTTTTAACCAAAAATGACCAACAACCCACCCCAATTCTCAAAATATAAGCTATAAAAACATATGAATAAGTCAAAAGCAGCTCTTTTCCATAATCTTTTCTGACGACATTGTTCACTACTAGATATATTAATATGAGCAGTTTGTTTTCATGCACGCTAGATGAAATGTTATTGAAATTGATATTGCAAATAAAAAACTAAAGCAACGATTTAATAAATATCAATATATGAAATAATTCGTATCATCGCATGTCAGCTGGCTTAATCACGCTTGGCCACACAACAGTAAACAGATTGGATTTTCAACTAAAGAATACTCAATTTGAATTTATTTATTTGCATAATAAAAAAAAAGCGAAAAAACTTTGTTTGTGCTTTCGTTTTAGCTGACTGCTTTATTTTTATATTTTCTCTCATAATCATGATATTGTTTGATGTGTTTTTGTAGCGATTATCTCTTCACATGTGGAAAATGTTGACGAGTAAAATTAAAATTGAAATTTAATCAAC